GTCTCCTCTGACAAAAACTGTTGCTGCTGACAGCCTGTCCCACGAGCAAGCAGTGTGTTCACCCCAGACGGGTTCACCGGCCATCCTCTGTCCCCAGCATCTTAACTGTGGGCACCCGAGATACTGTGATTTTTTTTTTCCTACTAGTACTGGCATTCTGACACTTGAGGGAACTGACTTTGTGTCACTGACTTCCCCAGTGACACCAATACAGTGATCAGTGCTAATAAAAAGCACTGACACTGTACTAATGGCACTGGGCAGGAAGGGATTAACATGTGGGGCAATCAAAGGGTTAACTGTGTGCTGTTTTACATAATGGGCTGTGTTTGCGCTTCACTGTGCCACCAAGTGCCATTGAGTAATCACTGTGCGGGACACGGTGATTGACAGCCGAGGCCATGAATGGCTGCGCAAGTTGGGTGCATGTCCCCTACCCCGGAAATGCGAAATCACGTATATTTACGTGATTTTGCGCACCCGTGCCGCCCTGTAGCAGTACTTCTGGTATAGGGCGGTCAGGAAGAGGTTAATCAATTCCAATTTGGGATCAGATGGCAGGAACTGGAACTTGCAGATTACTAAACTGGTGTAAGGCTTCATTCACACTGAACTAAGCATTTTTCAAGCGTTTTTAGTATATATTATAGGCATTTTTTTTCAGGCATTTTTTACTTAGGTGTTTTTGCTGTGGCCAATGGTAATAGCTGTTTGAGCTGAAAATGCCAGAAAAAAAAAAAAAAAAAAACACACAAAAAAAAAAAACCACACCAATAATATTTGCAAATCTTCTTACAAGAACGCTCAAAAACACCTGGAAAAAAAAACCCCCAACACACTAGAAAACCGCTTAGCTCAGTGTAAATGTAGCCTTAGGCTGGCCATCCACTATACAGTTTTCTGTCCAATTTCCTTTAGATTTACCTTCAACTATGTAGCGCAAGGGCCTGCCTAATTGATACAATTGAAAGTGTTGTTTAGGTTTGACCTCCTATTATATGATTTTTGGTAAATCTAGAGCAAAATTCTCAAGAAAATTGTATAAAGTATGGCCAGCCTTACACCAATTTAGTAACCTGCAAGTTCCAGTTCCTAACATCCGATCCCAAATTGAGATTAAGGCTTCCTTCACACTGAGCTGAGCATTTTTCAGGTGCCTTTGAAGGTTTTTTTTTGTTTTTAGCAGATTTGGCGTTTTTGCTGTGGCCAATAGAAATAGCTGCTGTTTGAGCTGAAAGCACTTGAAAAAAAAACACTCATTCCCACTACTCAGGTGTTTTCCATTGAAGTCTATGGGGACAAAATGCTCAGATCTATCTGAACAGTAGCACAAGTACTTTTTGAGGAACAAGCATTTTGCTACAGGCGACAGAATGCTCAAGTATGAACAGGGACCTTTGGAAATAATGGCATTTTACTTGTGTCTAGAAAAACCTTCAGCGCAATGAGATCTCCTAAATAAATGTGTAGCTAGCATATATGTGTTCCCACATATAACAAAATAAACTTAAAAAATGCAGCGCAGCAATGAAAAATGATAATAGTGCTTACAATCTTATAAGTGCATGTATAAATGGTGATAATCAAACTGCTGTGCTCATGAGGATCAACATATGCTACTCATGATATCTTCCAATGCATACATATAAACTCCCATAGAGACTGCACAAAACCAGTGCTATAAATATACCATAGATAGAGCACTATCAAGGATTGTGTACTTTGTGTGCACTATGGTATATTTATAGCACTGGTTTTGTGCAGTCTCTATGGGAGTTTATATGTATGCATTGGAAGATATCATGAGTAGCATATGTTGATCCTCATGAGCACAGCAGTTTGATTATCACCATTTATACATGCACTTATAAGATTGTAAGCACTATTATCATTTTTATTGCTGCGCTGCATTTTTTTTTCTTTATCTACATTGGGATTTTACTTGTTGAGTTTCTGAGTCAAGCTGAAAAATGCTCGAGTGTAAACAGGCTCTCAGACTCCATGCACACTAGTGTTTTTTAATCTCCTAAAAGCTATCAGCATTTTTGACTGCTCCTAGAAGTTAGTGTTATCCTACATGTCCATGCAAATAAACCACTTTCCATCCGGCCCATGTACATAAACGGCCAGACGGGAACAATGCAGAGGGTGGCCGTTTATAAATGGCACCTGCATTAACTGCCTGTGCGCAGCACTGCGATCTGGTGCCCGCTGTGTCCAGAGGAACAACGATCGCTGTACGTGACCTCTGTGTGAGGTCCCGATTCATGTGATCCCTGATTGGCCAATCAGTGATCACATGAATAGTAGTAAGCAAGATGTCACTACCTGACATCATTGCTTACTAGTCAAATCTTTGAATGATCACAGAGGTCACATGGTACAATGCTATTCACAACAGTCTTGTACCATGTGACAAGCTGTGACCAAGCACAGCTCTCACAGTATTTCTCAATGGCTGCAAGAATGCAGCCAGAGATGAGAAATGATTGCTTTTACAGCCTTTACGGGTATAAAAGCAATCAGTGTAAAAAAAGAAAAAAAAAAAATCTTCATCACCCCCCACTAGTAGTACAGTGTCACTATGGTGACACTGTACTACTAGGGTGACAGTATGTAAAAAAAACAAATAATATAAAAAAATAAAATGTAAAAAACATTTTTTTTAAATTATAATTTTTGGTTATAAACTAATGTGGGTTATTTTTTTTTACAAAAAAGATAGCTGAATACATTTTGGCCAAGATTTATGAAGAAAGATTATTTGTTTGCAAACGGTTATAAGAAACACACTTTTTTTTTCCAAAATGTTCAGACTTTTTAATTTATATAGCAAACAAATAAAAATCCCAGTGGTGAATAAATATCACCGAAATAAAGTTTTATCTGTCTCAAAAAAATGCAAAAACGTTCATTTGGGTACAGTGTTGCATGACCACGCAATTGTCATTCAAAGTGTGATAGCGCTGAAAGCTGAAAATTGGCCCAGACAGGAAGTGTACGGACTTGAAGTCAGGGGCGTATTTACCACAAGGCATTTGCCTAGGGAGGCATTTTTTAGGGGGGCAGCATTGCCCCCTGGACGAAGGGAGATATGCGACACGGGGACCAGGTGGGATCCAAGAGAGGCTGGGGGCTGCTTGATGGTATATGCAGAGCCCAACTGCCGTTTCCAGGGATGTCCAGAGCTGTGAAGGGGAGTGTCTTTCTCTCTGTCGTTGTGGGGGGGGGGGGGTGAATATTAGTGGAAAGCACTCTCGGGTGGGGCAGGGGTGTTGTTGGTCACTGTCAGGCTTTCTCCACAGGGGAGTGGTGTGTGTGTCTGGTGTTGGTCAGTGTGAAGCTCTCTCTGCCGTCTGATTTTTGTGTTGCTTAGGGCAGCACAAACCCTAACTACACCACTGCTTGAAATGGTTAATTTATACTAGGAACTCTCACATTATATGCAGTTCAGTGTGCTTTTTTTCTGCATCAAAAATGCATGCAGTGTTTTCCATGTATTCCAATGGCCTTGGTTCAACCAGTGCAGTCAGTTCCAGTCAGTTTCCGGTGCAGAAAGAAGTAGAGCATACTGGAACATAGCAAACTGCATCAAAACCGCACAGGAACTGCGTGTGGTGCGAACTGTAAGCAAAAATGTATCCGGAGAGCATGTTAGTAGTGTGAATTGGCCCTCAGCTTTTAGGAGCAGGAAAGTAAATGTTTATTTTAACTGCCTCCTGCCCACCATATAGTACAATGACGGGCGCAAGACGGTTCTCTCTCTTTCTGGGAGGACGTCATATGATGTCGTCCCATTCCAACCACGCATGCGCGGCTCCAGGAGCGTGCAGCGATCGGCGGTGCGCTGTGTCCCTCGGACACAGCGGATCACCGATCAACGGAAAGAGCCGAAGATGTCGGCTCGGTCATGTGATCAGCTGTGTCCAATCACAGCTGATCACATGTAAATAGGGAAATCCCGATCATCGGCATTTCTCTCCCCACAAGCTGTCACGTTGACAGAGGAGAGACGGTAATCAGCATTCCTCAGAGGGGACATGTACATAGATCATTAGAGCACTGATGATCAGTGTGCCCTGATGATCTGTGTAGCCCCAGCAGTGCCACCTGTCAGTGTCCATCAGTGCCAGCTGTCAGTGCTCATCCATGCCACCTGCCAGTGTCCATCAGTGCCACATCAATGCCTACCTGTGCACATCAATCCCACATATCAGTGCCCATCAGAGCTGCCTTTCAGTGTCACCCATCAGTGCCAGTCAGCGCCACCTATCAGTGCCAGCCAGTGCTGCCTATCAGTGTGCAGTGCCGCCTATCAGTGCCATATATGAGTACTGCCTTTCACTGCCCATCAGTGATGCCTGTCAATTCCCATCAGTGCAACCTACCAGTGCCTCCTCATCAGTGCCCATCACTGCAGCCTCATTAGCACACATCAGTGGAGAAAAGTCACTTATATACAAAATTTTATAACAAAAACTAAGAAAAAAAACTTTTTTTTTCAAAGTTTTCAGTGGTTTTTTTGTTTGTTTATGAAAAAATAAAAAACCCAGAGGTGATTAAATACCACCAAAAGAAAGCTCTGTCACAAAAAAATGATACAAATACATATGGGTACAGTGTTGCATGACCGCACAATTGTCATTCAAACTGTTCCAGCACTGAAAGCTGGAAACTGGCCTGGGCAGGAGGCGGGTAGAAGCAGGGGCAGACTGACAACGCATGGGGCCCCCAGGCAATAGGGGATCATGGGGGCCCTGTGTCCTTGCCAACACTAAAAAAAGCCTATGAATAAGGTACCAGGGGCATCTCATGGGGCCCCTACTGACCCCGGGCTGTGCCCGAGTTTCCAAATGGTCAGTCCATCCCAGGGTAGAAGTGCCCTGTAGGCTAGTGGTTAGAGTTTTTGGGAGCGTTTTCTCAGCAGAAAAACCATTGAATGCCCCCAAAAGCTTTTTTCTTCTTCTCTTCATGTACTGTAAAATGCTAATTTTTGGGGGGGGGGGGGGGGGGGGGGGGGGGGGGGGGGGGGGGGGGGGGGGGGGGGGTTTTTTTTTTTTGTTTTTTTTTTTGGGGGGTTTGTTTTGTGGGGGTGTGTGTGGGGGGGTGTGTTGGGGGTGGGTTTGTGGTGTTTGTTGGGGTAAAACATTAACGCTCCTAAAAGCTGCCACAAAACGCTATTATCACCATTTGTCATCCAGCGTTGTTTTTTTTGAGCCTATAAAACAATGCCAGTGTGCATGGAGCCCTGAAGGTAGAATTCAAGTATAATTTCTGTGAAATTCTAAAGCTCCACCTTCTCTCACCTTGTGTCACAGGACCCTGAACCCCTGAATAAAGCCCCAAGAGGTTCCCCAGTTCCCGCCTCACCACATCCTCCACTAAACATACCATTTGCCTGTGCTTTGCTGACTGTGAGGTAAACCTATACCGAGTGAACCCTATACGCAGAAGATGCTGGAACAGCAACGTCCACCTATATATTTAGTGCAGAAGTGGACTTCACTAAACCGGTCGGCTCCGGTTCTCGGGGCACACCGCCTTCTCTCAGCAGCACGTGTTTACCAAACCGGCCGCCGCCTGGCCGGACAATTGTGCAAGCTCGGCATTTCTCCACTATCACAGCACGCTAGCTTGTTTCCCTGCACGGGGGCTTGGCTCCACGTCATCCGGTCCTGACAAGGTGATTGGCGGAGGGAGATATAGTGAGGGGGCGTGGGGATCAGCCTGTGGTACTTCAGTACAAAGTGATCCGCAGGTGTTCCTCACACAGCAAGTTTGTATCTAGTGCTGTTCATCTGTGTTCCGCTCTCTATACAGGCTCCATTGCCAGCACCATGCAGAGCTACGTCAAGTCCTGGCCTGTGCTGTGCAGGGCGGTGAGGCTGCAGGGCAGAACAATGGGGGGCAGCAGGAGGGCTCCATGGAGGCAGATAGAAGGGGCATGGAGACCCAACAGTACTAGCATAGGGCCAGCTACGGCGGCTCTAGCCTCAGCCCCCGGAAACCAGCGCCACATTGAGCGCCTCTTCCCCCGGCATGATGACTTCTCCGAGAGACACATCGGACCCGGGGATAAGGAGAAGAGGGAGATGCTGGAGACCCTGGGAGTGCAGGTGAGCAATGGACCGATCCTGAGCGCAACACATTCACAGATCACATCCTTCCTCGTGTCTTCTACAGAGTTCCACTCATTCAGGAGTGTTTAAGAATGCACACTATACTCTGATATATATGTCATAGGGAGATGGGGGGCTGGCTTCATATGGGATTGACTGGGGTACACTCCTCCAGTGTGCCTGAAAGAAAGCTGGTGATAGAGATAGATGGATGATCTCATAGATCCTATAGAATGGATGGGAAAATCTCTGGTAGAATGGATCCACCAAATAGAATAGATGGATCGAATAGAATTGATGGATGGTCTGATAGAATGGATAGATGGAATAAGACACATGGATGGATGATCTGATAGAATGGATAGATGGAATAAGACAAATGGATGGATGATCTGATAGAATGGATAGATCAAATAGATGGATAGGATTTGTGGGTACATGGATAAGATGGATAGATAATCTGATAGAATGGATAGATCAAATAGATGGATAGGACCTGTGGGTACATGGATAAGATGGATGGATAATCTGATAGAATGGATAGATCAAATAAAATAGATGGAATAGGACATATGGATAGGATGGATGGATAATGTGATAGAATGGATAGATCAAATAGATGGATAGGATTTGTCAGAACATGGATAAGACGGATGGATAATCTGATAGAATGGATAGATCAAATAGAATAGATGGAGACATGGATAGAATAGATGGAATAGGACATATGGATAGGATGGGTGGTTAATCTGATAGAACGGATAGATCAAATAGATGGATAGGTCTTGTAGGTACATGGATAAGACGGATGGATAATTTGATAGAACAGATAGATCAAATAGATGGATAGGTCTTGTAGGTACATGGATAAGACGGATGGATAATCTGATAGAACGGATAGATCAAATAGATGGATAGGACTTGTGGGTACATGGATAAAACGGATGGATAATCTGATAGAATGGATAGATCAAATAGATGGATAGGATTTGTGGGTACATGGATAAAACGGATGGATAATCTGATAGAATGGATAGATCAAATAGATGGATAGGATTTGTGGGTACATGGATAAAACGGATGGATAATCTGATAGAATGGATAGATCAAATAGATGGATAGGATTTGTGGGTACATGGATAAAATGGATGGATAATCTGATAGAATGGATAGATAAAACAGGATACATGGATAGGACAGATGGATACGTGGATAAGATGGATGGATAAACTGATAGAATAGATGGATAGAACAGATTGATACATGGATGAGTAATCTGATGATAGAATGGTAACTCAAATAGAATAGATGGAAAGAAGGGATGGATTGATAAATCTGATAGAACAGATGGATACATGGCCAGATGGATAAATCTGATAGAACAGATAGATCAAATTGGATGGATAATCTGATAGAATGGATAGGTCACATAGAACAGGTGGATAGATTTATGGAATGAATGGATGGATATTCTGAATGGCTAGATCGCATTGGATGGATAGATGGAATAGATAAATGTATTGAATGCTTGGTTAGATCATCTAGGATGGCTAAAATGGATGTCTAGGACTAAAGGATGTATGGATAGGCGTATAGAACATATGGATGCATGGATAGTTGTATTGGATGGATAGATCCAATAGAATAGTTTGATGGATACATGAATAGGCTAGATAGAATAATTAGGTTGTATAGAATGACTGACTGCATGGATTGGGTGGATAGATCAGATGTATACAACTAATGGATAGGTCATTTTGATGGATAGATCAAATAGTTAAATGACTCTGTAGAATGGATGGATGTAATTGGTAGATTAGATAGAATGCGTAGATATATTCTAAAAGTGGGAATACACGATTAGAAAATCGACCGATCGGTCATCCGATGACCGAGAGGCGTTCGTTCGTTGGTTGAAATCGTGGCCCACATTAACCAATCTATAAAAATCGTTCGTCGGGCAATACGTAGTGTTGACATCTTCCGTGTGTGTGTGTGTGTGTGTGTGTGTGTGTGTGTGTGTGTGTGTGTATGTGTCCTTGTAGCCACACCCTTCCAGCCAGAACAAGCAATATACACAACAATTAACAGCAATGAGTATAATATAGTTTATTACATTACCTATATACATAAATAGTGACACATAAAATATAACATGCATCATTCTGGTTTCATTATCTCATTAGGCCAATCTATTTTTAACATTTGGATTTGTTGTTCGTGTTTACAAAGATTCCTTGGACATAAACATCCGAGTCATCTTCTGTTTCTGCTCATGCGTGATAGCGCTTGATAGATTTTTTTTTTTTTTTTTTTTTTTTTTTTTAGTCGTACGACTGTCATACCACCGCATAGAAAATTGGTCGTATGCAAAACTACAACATTTTTCACTGTTGTTCAACCAGATTTTTTCGTTCGCGATATCGTTATCGGTTAAAACATCCTGCTCATCAATGAAGAGAAAATCATTCGATCAGTGGTTCCGTTAAACTTTTCGGACAATTTTCTTATGTGTATGGGTTACTCAACGTGTTAGTCAACCGTACCTCAATGACATTTGTTTTGCTAAAGCACCGTGTGTCGTAAACAATTTTGTACGCGGTTTTATTCTTTTTAATTATTTATTTATTTTTTTTATTAAAGTATTTTGTTTAATCTTTTACCCCCTTTTTTTTTTTTTTTTTTTTTTTTTTTTTTTTTTTTTATTTGTCCTCAGTACTGTTGATCTCCCACAGCCTCTGAGGCCAATTTCCATTTATATTCATGTACCTCAGAAATGGTTCTCTTCTTGGTGGTGAAAAAGGTGTACTGTGCCCACAAAATGTGTGTTGGCTTGACCATTTGTAGTCTCCAATAGAAGCCAGACTAGGTGATAAAGCAGGAACATAACTGGAAGGCAGGGACAGAGCAGTGTCTCCTTATTACAGGAAGTGCCTGAACTGGGACTTTTCATGGCAGGATCACCATGTGTTAATTAAATGCAGCATATTTAAAAATCCTGAAAATGACATTAATGTGTTAAAATTAAGTCTCTGAGATTGTAGTGATTGGGTTTACACAGGGTGATCATACACTGAAGCTTCCAGTGTTTAGCATGCTGTTGTCTGTTCTTTCACTCAGCTGTCTATTTGTATCTTGATAAACCTGCATACTATTTCTGTTTAATCTGTGAATGTGTTTGCAGTGGTTCACCAACCATTCTGAGTTGTGAAGTGATCACTCTGTTTTCTGTCATGCTGGTGGCTTGCATATCAATGAAGCTTTCAATAGGGGCTAGAGACACAAAGAGAATCTTTCCTTGGGGTACAATGGGCTCAACTGTGCAGGGGTATTAGAGGAGCCTAAACCTCATCTATGCATGCATCCCAGTGAATGCCAGGAAGTCTGATTAAACAGTCATTAACAAGACCTTTTTCTTTACATTCAGAGTTAGTTTCTGTGAGGGTTATTGTGGAGATCCTTCACATGATTAGCTCATATGGTAGTAACAATGCGCTTAATCTTCCTGGAACAAATGCTGTGTGTCAGATCCAGGAATGTGGGTTAAGTTGCTTAGGAAAAGAGTCCATGGATGTCTCAGTGTTTTTCCTTTCTATCCTATTAGAGTATTGATGAGCTGATTGATAAGACTGTTCCTGCAAGCATCCGCCTGTCAAGACCACTGAAAATGGATGATCAAGTTTGTAAGTTTACCTTTTTTATAAAAAAAAAAAAAAAAAAAGTCTGAAATTGATCAAGATTGGTTTACGGGGTTGTCATCATCAGTATGGTAACATCTGATAGATATCTAGTTGCAATAAAGGCTAGGTGACCTACAGTATAATTGCTGTAGCGGCATTCCTCTGTAGATAGGAATTATGGTTTTATGAGTACTGATTAAAAGTATATTTTGGCAAGTTCACATTATTATAGCAAGTAGCACAGCTGATTAAGAACAGTAGGTAGACAGCAGGTGGAGCTCGGATGTGAACACTGAGCTAGGATTCTTTCAGCCAACTAGCACGTAGATGGGTTATTATTATTATTATTATTATTATTATTACTACACAGGATTTATATAGCGGCAACAGTTTATGCAGCAATTTACAACATAGGGGTAGACAGAAGAGTTACAATACAAATTTAATACAGGAGGGATCAGGGGGCTCTGCTCGTTAGAGCTTACCCTTTTATTACATGTATGCAATTTTCTGTATACTTAGTGGCACCCCTGATCTTATCTAGCCACACTCTATATCTCATGACACAAGAATCGTACAAGTGTTCCCTCTATACACTGTAGTGCTGTTATAAAGGCAACAGAAGGGCAGACAGGAAACCACCTGCATTACATCTGTTCATGCATCTTTCTTCCATTGGGTAGTTAGTATAGGTGTTAGAAGGGGGTGGGAGCAGTTTTCTGATTAGTTATAATGATCCCAGAATCATAACATTCTAAAACTCCAAAACAAATATGTATTATATAGCAGCTTAACGGTCCTTAGAAGTGGTAACTACATTAGTCTTGTCTTTAGAGTTTTTTCTCCTTTTTTCATTTTCAGTAAGTCTGTTTTTTTTTTTTTTTTTTTTTTGTTTTTTTTTTGGGGGGGGGGGGGGTCAACTTCTGTTAACTTTGAACAGACATGGCTGTCCAGCAGAAGTGGCAGCTAAAGGGTTGAGACAAACATTTGCCACAGACGGGGGTGCTTATAATGACCAACTGTTATACATTTTATATAAAGCCTATATCCCAAAAGGGAAAACAACATTGCTGTAACTACTTATAAAAATGATAGCCGGAGTTCAGCTTTAATTTATAGTCAAGTCCATCTAAATCTGCTAGTGACTAGTCTAACACTATCCTCTCAGCACACAGGCAATTATGCTGTCCAAAGGTGTCTCTGATGCTCCCCCATCCAGAGTGGAGAAACAATAAGCCTTGGTTCACATCTGTACATGCTGCATGTTGGGCAGCCATTTAATTAAAATGGGCTGCCCTACCTACAAGAAAGGCAGGGAAAGAAGTCCCTGACCTTTTTGTAAAATCATGGGCCTCAGCGCCTGTGCGAATGAAGCCTAACCACTTTCATATGTATTTAGCTGTTTGCCTTGAGTTTAACTATAGGTAAACAAGACACTTTAATGTAAAAAGACAAAAAAATCAATTAGCTGTTCTCCAGTGGTACAAAGTGCCACTTCTGTTTTTATGTAAAGAAGGGTGCACAGGCCTAGTGCATTACCAAAAAAAAAACCTTTTATTGATAAAAACAATAAGTATTCTACTCACAGATGACAAGAATGTTAAAGGCACATCATAAAAGAACAGCACTGTTCAGTCCACACTTAGTGATGTCCGCAATGGGAACCCTGGACCTCCAACAGGTTTAGGGTATACATAAGAGAGGGTACAGGCATTGTATATGTTGGCTCTGAGGGAGAGGCAAGTCCCCCGAAACGTGTTAGCCTGTTGGAGGTTTAGGGTTCTCATTGCGGATATCACTAAGTGTGGACTGGACAGTGCTGTTTTTATGATGTACCTTTGACATTATTATCATCTGTGAGTATAATACTTATTATTTTTATCAATAAAAGGTTTTTTAGGTAATGCACTAGGCCTGTACGCCCTCTGTTTGTTTTTCTTTGCATCCAGTGTGTCTGGACTTCCCTGGTCCTTTGAGGGCAGCAAGGTGTGCACTTTCCAAGGCAGTCGATATGTGGTTGTAGTCTCTGTGGAGTCCATCCTCAAGCACAGGAGTATGTGTACTACATTACTTCTCTTTGTGACAATGAAAGTTTATGGGTTGGCCAAATTACTAAAAGAAGTAAACTACTTATGCACCTGCTGTACTATCTTGGCAGCTGTTAAGCAGTTCTACTCTACAGATTTTTTCACTTAAAGTATATATGAAAACCTTGTAAAACAACCCATTCAGTTTAAAATAGAAATTAAATAAATACAAAATATTTGTATACATATAAAAAAAAGTTTTAAATACTCCTTCTTTATTTATGGATAGATAGAGATATATAGTGATCACATGCCATCTGTTGGCTGCATAAAGGAGGAGAAGCTGCAGCACACTGATCTTCCCAGTGAAAGGCTGTGCAAAGGGGGTGTATCAACACAAGCCTGATCATTGGAGGAAAGCACACTGAGTCCAGAACAATGACTATGCTGTGCTGTCATGACTAGCGTGATCAATTTTTATTAGGAAAGCAGATGGACTGGCAGGAACACCAGGGATTTCACACAAAAGAAGCAATACACAGAGAAGATACTTTTTCATACAAGTACATGGTACAGCAGTCACATACTAGGGATATGAAATGTTGGGTTTACATATTCTTTAAAGCATGAATCTACAGCTATTGGGGTAGGCTGGCTTTTGCTGTAGTGTGCAAGTATGCTGAAACAATATTGCACAATAACCTTTCAGTCTACCATCTTCTAGTGAGATTCACAATTCCCTACATTTCCCCACACCCCTCATATTTCTGTCACTGCTGCTGACAAAATGCCTGGCATCCTTCTTTGTGCCATTGGGCAACCATGAATGATGTAACTCCTGTGCATGCGCAGGAGTTGCTTCATCCTCAGTATGGGATGCCAAGAATGGGCAGGGAATGAACACTGCACAGAACCAGAGGAAATATGTTTTTGGCAGGAAAAACTTTCAAGTCTCCTCTGCCTATAAATCTACCTCTTGACATAATTGTTTGTATCTTTGGAGTAGACACACCATAGCAAAAATAAGGATAATCAAGTATGAGAGAATGTGCTGCAAGAATTATTCAAAAGATATGCATACTTAAAATACAATATGCACTCTTCTTAACCTGTTTAGTTAAAGTAGAACAAGACCCTTCGTGCCCTTCTCACCTCCCCTCTAGCAGTGATGGCAGGAAGCGTCCACACTAGCACTGGCTCCGGCACCTTGGTGGTTTCTTCTGGGGTTTTTGGTCATTTTATTAGCTGGGATGATGTAACTTCTACTGCGCAGCTCAGTGTTCTTTCTAGACATGCCTTGGTGTTGGGATGAATGAACTCCTGTGAACATTTATGAGTTATGTCAGTTTGTGTACATTCCAAAGCAGGGGTCTCCAATCTTTTCAGTACATGGGCCACACTGTATAATTTACAGATATTTGGGGGCAGAAAAAAGCAGTTTTTGAATGAATGATTGAAAATACCTTTGCAGCAGATATTTTCCATCCCCCCCCCTTCCATCACATCAGATTTCCTCTTTCCCATCAGGAGCCCCCATCACTTCAGAGTTGCTGTGGGTCAGATGTGGCCTGTGATCCTTGGTTTGGAGACCCCTGTTCTAAAGCATATTGTGAGGGTGGTAAGAAGCCGTTCTTGCAGAGCAGACATTAATATGGCCTCATTCACTCGTGTTTTGGGGCTGACTGATTTTCTTGTGGACAGCTGCCAGCATGAAGCTCCACTCAAAGCAATGAGAGCTTGATGGTTCCCACAGCTATTTGTCATTGTTCATATGTAAGCAGACATGCAATGGTTATCTGTGTGTTGTCCGTGATCAGCCTTGGACAAGTCTGCGTCCAGGTCAATCATCCACAGGTAACTGCTGTGGGTGGGATGGAGCTTTCCGCCAGCAGCTGTTCACATGAAACCTTGCGGAGTCTCCCACAGGAAATCATAGTTGAGCCCCAAAAGTATGTGAATGAGGCCATTCTCTTTCACCAATAAAAATCCTTCCTTTCTTCCCACATGTTTTTCAGTTCAGAACAAACTTCTACCCTTAAAGATATGCATTGCCTTTCTTGCAACGTAATACACCTAGTTTTGCCCACCTAATACAACCGTAAACCATTTGCCAATGGCAAATCCTTCTTTTTTTTTTTTTTTTTTTTTTTTTTCCTCCCTACTGTGAAATACTTGTCTGGCTGATTGGAGTATTACCAGGATGACTAGAGATTACATTGGGTTGTTGGTACTGGTCCCATATTACATCTGAAAGCACTGTTGCCTAGCATTTCATCTTGCTCAGTTGCAAAAACAAGGAACATTCCATTGAGTGTTCATTAGAAATGCAGGGTGTGGATGCTGACTGTAGTTCTTTCGCTCAATAACAAAATGTACTGAATGTTTATCCACTGCATCTATAGCTTGTTTATAGCCTGTGTATACTGAGCACTACTGTTATTTATAGACTTGTTTTTATAACAAGAGCAGTCTTTCATATGAGACTGATTGATATGCAATGCAAAGAATTTTATAAAGGTTACATTCGTTCAGATTCTTCAAAGGTCAGAGTTGGCTGTTAGATGTTTGCGTGTACTTGAATAATTTTTTGTTTTTGAATCGGCATCATCCTTGTTAGAGAAGTGATCCAAGGTGCTATAAATCTGCAGTGGTCAGGTAATATTGCTACCTGTGGTGTGTGGCAGACCTATGTGAATCACAAGACTGCTGAACAGCTCTTTACCTGGGGTTCCTTTTTTAAACACCCTGTATTATACCTGTGTCTTTATTAGCTGTATTTCTTGCAAAGTGAAACATTACCATGATGATTTTTAAATTTTTTTTTTTTTTTTTTTTTTTTTTTTTGGTGTTTTTTTTTCTTTTACTTACAACTTCAGCATTTTTATTTTCAATGCAGATCTATATAGTGAAAATAAAACCTACAATACACTCCATTTTTTTAAATTGTTTCAAGGTGGAGTGCAGTATAATCCTGAG